GTTACATGATTTATCTCGAAATGACTGACAAACAAAAACATGCTGCTGCATCCCGTATGGCTAACGCAATAGTAAACCACTAATTTTCTCTTCGTCATTTTAACTATAATTCACCATCCACACACTACGAATTTTTGGGCTTCTTGGCGTTCTCTCTAGTTTATTTCCACCATCCAGGTTTTAACCGAGCTATCCGTGCTCCCCGGTGTCAATAAACTATTGTGCCCAAAACCTCGTAGTCTGTGTGTTTGATGTTAGTAATTTGTCAAAACGTTTAAGTCGTTATTGGTACASTTATTGTACAGTGCCGTCTCACAATGCACGGTATCTCAGTCAAGTGCATRAGTCAAACACAGTCTAATCATTCTTTAAGTATCTATAATGAAAATTAGCAACATTACAGGAAGCATACCATTCGACCAGGAAATCTTCCTGGGTTTCAAATATAAACGTCAACGACGAAGCTACAATCATTGACAAAATGTTGGCACTGTTATAATCACCTTCACTTGTCATTTAGAGGCTTAAGGTTGGAACTCGAGTTTTTTCCTCACCTCCGGAACAAAGTTGGGGTGGKTAAAGACGAACTAGATCACCATCTTTTTGACGACACCAAATGTAATGATCAGACTTCACAGCAATATTGTGAGGAGGGGGAGGGGAGGGGGCGCTGTTGTATGATACTGAAAAATCATGAAAACAGGCATGCGTGCCAACTATTTTGTCAATSATTGTAGATACCTTTGATCTACAATTCACAACAAGTTAAAACATAGTTAAATATGACTACAACAACACTGACAAAAACGTGAACTCATTGTTCATTTTAAAACCTGTTTTCAATCTTACTGGCAAAACGTCACATTCGAATTTTTTTTTTCCAAAATACACCGGTGACGAGGTACCAACCGTGGCGACAGGGAACRAGTTTCAACCATGCATTGTACCAATGGGGACAGTTGATTATCMTTCTTMTTACTGAAACAGCGCTGGTGCCTTTACCTTTTATCTTTACCAGCTTTCAAACACTTATGACAGTGGCTCGTCCTGCAAACTCAGGCAAATACACTAGAGGACATGGCTCTTTGTCGACAACTGATTTGAATAGGCTGTTCACGGATCTCAGAGATGCTCGCATAAATGGAAAAGCCAACAACGTAATCCTAGCAATAATTTCTGAAACATCATTGTTTAAAAACTGAGGACTATCATCATCAGTATGTATTACATCGTTGTTCACGTCAGATCCAGGGTCATCATTGTTACCATCGTCAGATCCAGGGTCATCATTGTTACCATCGCCAGATCCAGGGTCATCATTGTTACCATCGTCAGATCCAGTGTTATCATTGTTACCATCGTCAGATCTAGGGTCATCATTGTTGCTCACGTCAAATCCAGGGTCATCATTGTTGTTCACATCAAATCCAGGGTCATCATTTTTGCCATCGTCAGATCCAGTGTCATCATTGTTGTCATCGTSTGATCCAGAGTTATCGGTGTTGTTCACGTCAAATCCATGATCATCATTGTTAGCATCGTCAGATCCAGTGTCATCATTGTTGTTCACGTCAAATCCAGGGTCATCATTGTTGTTCACGTCAAATCCAGTGTCATCATTGTTGTTCACGTCAAATCCAGTGTCATCATTGTTGTTCACGTCAAATCCAGTGTCATCATTGTTGTTCACGTCAAATCCAGTGTCATCATTGTTTCCACCGTAAGATACAGGGTCATCATTGTTTCCACCGTCAGATACAGGGTCATCATTGTTTCCACCGTCGGATACAGTGTTTAAATCATTATCTGCGTAGTGAAAATCCAATGCCGGTGCAATACTTACATAATGCTCACCTTGGTTCTCAGCAAAGTGACCAAGATAAAGCGTGGTAACTGGAGCTCCAGATGAAGAATGAAAAACATGTTGGGCTCCAGCTCCAAGTGACGATATAACAAGAACGTCCACATTAAAGAGGTTAGAAGCTGCAAACACAGTTATCTGATCTCCAAACGTGTCTTCGTCTGACATATGCTGGATATATGCACTCCATGATTGAAATTCGGGAAGTAGTTCGATAAGAGGAAACCCTTCGTTATCTAGCCTTTGGAGAACRATAGATGCCGATGGAACACAGCTGGTGCGCTAGCGCTGAGAACTGGCAGCTGCCATCGCCTTCTGGGTTGTACACAATTTTAAAGCCTTGACCTTCAATTTCATTCCGATAGTCTTCTTTATTCATAGGAATGTAAAACCTGGTAAAGTGGTTTTTCTTCTTCTTTTCTGATAGTTTTGCAAGTTTCTGCTTTCTCTTTTCTTCTTCGAGAGTCAGACTTGTGATATTATCTACAGGTATCCAWTTTTCTTCTTCCTTTCCTGACGATGGTGATACGAAAAGAACTTTATAAGAGTGGCGCTTRAGCTTTCTTTCCTTTATCAATGCCTCGACGACAACACGCTTTTTGGGAGCAGATTTTGAACCTCCTTTTTTAGATAAACGTATGTAGACTCTTTCTCCTATGTTATATTTTGAAGGAGGATTTGCTCTTGATTTTTGATCAACCATTCTCTTGGAGYATCGATATGTTGCTTCTTTAGCCATCTTTCTTACTCTGGACATGTGTTTTGAACGTTCTTTCAKACTTTGTTTCGTAGGCTCGCAAAAGTTCGCAGGGTTGTGATTTGAAATTATGTTTTGAAAAGAGTTACACTTCCTACCAAAGTAAACTTCAAAAGGTGTCTTGTAAGCAAGGGCTTCTYTGGGATCGTCCTTAAGTATACGTTGATAAATGGGCAGACCTCTTGCCCAGTTAATGCCCTTTTCACACATTTTAGCTAAATCGTATTCCATTTTTCGTCTCAATGTCCTGTGGCTTCTTTCCGTCTTCCCATGTGACTGTGGATGGTAAGGTCGACTACACATTATCTTTATTTCAAACCTCTGGCATAATTTTTTGACCGCGCCTTTGAATTCAGGTCCTTGATCGCATTGTACAACACGAGGTGGTCCATGTTCGTGATAGATATCTTGCAAGGCTTTAGCAATGTCTTTACTATTCTTTCCTGCCATAGGTCGCAACCACACAAATATACTGAAAATGTCTACAACCGATAAAACATATCTGTAACAAACGTTATTCATCTGTACAGAACCTTTTTTCCCTAAGTCCATTAGATCAATSTGATGCCTCGTTTGGACATCCCCCGCATGTATAACGTAGCTTTATTGTTGAACTGCGCGTTTCTTTTGTAGTRAAATTCACTATTAAGTATTTCTTGAACCTTTTTCCTGCTCAGTCCAATTAAGTTGTCACGTAAAAAATGTAGTATTTTAGCAGCACCAGATCCTAAAAGACAATSTTTATAA